TCAAAACTCTGTTACTGATGTTATAGTGGAAAGTCCACTTTGTTCAACTTGTGACCACTCCGTAGTTTCTTTTAATCTCTTTTCACACAAACAAAGGCACTTTAAATACACCAGACATATTTTTAATTATAAAAACACAAACTGGGATGCATACCGTTTGGAATTAAGCAAGACCGACTGGTCTCAATTAATAAACCAGCAACTAACTCTCGATGACCAAGTAGAAATTTGGTATGAAAACTTCCTAGCAATTTCTAATCGAATTATTGCAAACAAAACTATTATGATCTCCTCACGAGATGCTTCCTGATTTACGGACAAATTAAGGGAATTATATATTAAAAAACAAAAATTCTTCCATCGTCGTAAACGCTCTGTGTGCGATGATTTGGCATATAAAACGATTGCTAAACGTTATGAAGAAGAGTGCTCCTTAGCAAAGAATAAGTACTATTCCCAAATTCATGAGAAAATAAATCGTTCTTCGAAGAATTGATGGTCAGTAGTTATAAATTTTCTCAATAAACGAAAGCAGTCTTTTATTCCAAGTCTCATGAATCCTGTGTCTGGAAATTTTTCATATCATCCTGGAGATAAAGCTAACTTATTAAACGCGTCTTTTTCAAAAATTTATACTACGTACACTAACACTCACCATACGTTTCCAAAATTACCTGAACCTAAACTCGTTATGTCGCCTTTTCTTCTGTCGGATCTGGAAGTATATGAAGTCCTTTGTAAAATTAATTCTAAAGAAGCTGTCGCTCCAGGAATTACAGGCAGAATGTTACGTGAAGCTGCGCCAGTGCTAGCTTCTTCATTTACACTACTGTTCAACAATTCTTTATCTTCTGAGATTTTCCCTCTACCATCATCGAATAGAATCAATTGTGTATGGTTTGGTTCTAATTCCTGTCTACCATCAATGGTTTTTCTTTCTAATATTTCATCTTCTGACACTGATGACTAAAACGTCACAGGAACATATTTATGAAAAATAAGAGGATACTCTACGTACCTGTAATTTTTTTTCGAAACAAATTAATTCTTTTCGATTTTTTATATTTGCCCAGTTACATACACCAATCGCTTAAACATTTTTTCCATCACTGTTTGGATTTCGTAAGAGATTTAATCGGTTTTTATAAACAATTTTCACCAACTAGTAGAGCACCAATTTCATTTTTATATCCATTTGTAAAAATCCAAGCATCTGTTATTTTAATATAGATAAAATTAGAAATCCGTACGATGTTTATACTACGCTTAAAAAACCCATGCCGGGACATTTTAGCGATAGGTAGATTTTTAGCAAAACAACGTGGAAAATCATTTTCATATAGTGCATTTTTGACTCGTCTTTCCATTATCTATCGAATAGCAAAACAAAAACTTTTATGGCTTTTAAGTTGACATAAAAAAATTCGAGATACCGGTTTTTGAGTTTTTGCCATTTTTAAAAATATCCTTATGTAAGTTAACAAGACTTTTTCGAATTTTGGACTTTTGACGCTGACCATTAATTTAAAAAGTAAAATATCAAAAATCCGGGTTGCCTTAAAAGAATTACAAAAGTATCTTACTTCATCTTTATTTTCTGCAGAAATCAATCATAATAAAAAATTTAAAAGTCTTACCTGTGCTCCTGTGCTTTCCAAATTACCGTATGCATTTGTTACTGTAGTTTTAGTATTTTCTCTAATCTAGTACGATTGAGGATGTTCATTTAACAAATAATTATCAGATTCTAGTTCACTATTTGAATTAGAACAAGCAACATTTATCTTTCACAAATTTTCGACATATGTAGAAAAATCATACTTATCATCAGCATCTAATTCACTCGATTTACAACATCGACGATTAATCTTTAATTCTTTAATCCGTCCTGTTGAATACCAATCGGCAGGATGCTAGAAGAGTATCAAAGGAAAATGTCGAAAGTGTGCATGAGCAACGGTTTGACAATAAACTTTGTGATTAATGCAGCTATTTTTAATTTTATTTTTCTCATTTATTAACGCGATACTTCGACCTTAATTGGTCATTTTCAAACAGTACAAATCAAAAAGCTACAATTTTAATGGATGACCATATATCTAAAATATACATAGACAGAACGAACAGAGCATTTCATCATCTTTTCTTTCTCGTTTCCTATTTCCATTTTCTAATTATATTAAATACAGAAGCACTTCGGCGTGCGAAAATATCACTTAAATAAGTAAGAAAAATGAAATTTAAAATAGCTGCATTGATTACAAGGTTAGAAGGAAAATGACAAAATGATGATATTATTATAAATGACAAAAAAAAATTGGGTAACAAACGATTTTAAATAATACAAACCAAGTTCAAATTATAACTGATGATTAGGTGAATTATTATAATCAAAAAGTTAATAACAATTCAGAAAACGCTTAATCTAAAAATAATCCGTCGTTTCAAAGTTCAAAGAATGAAAGATGAATGTAATATGTTAGCTTGATATCATACAAAATATTCATTGTATGTTCATAACAGATACCTTTCATATCGAAATTAAATTGTCATGACTATGAAAATCGGATTCTTCGTATGAATTAATTCAGTTTGCAAAATTTTGACGCTTCTCTGTTTCAATCGCGTTTTCATTCTTTAATCCACTTCAGCCTAAACTTTGTTTATCTTTTTCTCGTCTTGAAGGAAGTAAAAGAGAAAAATTCGATGGAAACAGAGGAACGTCAAAACTTTGCCAACTGAGTTATTTCATATACAGAATCTAATTTTCATAGTCGCGGCAGTTTATTTGCATCTCAAGGGGTATCTGTTGTCTTCATATGTTTAAAATCAACGAAAGCGGAATATCAAATGGAGAATTTTATTAACAACAAATAAACTCAAAGCATAAGAAAAAAATACATAGTTCAAGTTTTGTTACTAGCTCGAATCAATGCATTGTTTATAATTGAAATAAATATAATTTCGCGTAATTCAGATTAATATTTTCCAAAAAAATAGTGAGATACAAGAATTCAAGAAAAAAAATTAAAAACGTTTTTTGTCTGATACAAAATGTTTGTTTTCGCGAATTAGCAATTTCAGCTGCAAGAGTTCCAGCTTAAAGTTTAAGATGGAAAACAGCGCACAAAGAAAACGTTTGAAACAGTATTGCTGCTAATATCAAAAAAACCTTTGCGATTGTCAACCAACGTGGACCAACAATCGTATAGCATTTCTTTTTCTCGAAGCAACTAAAGTGAGAAGTGGTTTTATAGATACATTCGCATTTTTTTCTACTAGACATACTGTAGGGTTTGGAATGAGTCTCAAACACACAACCTCTTTGTTTCAAAAAATTTCCAAAAAATTTCTTGCCAGACTGGGCTTCTAATGTGAGGGGGGGGGTTACTACTTTTTTAATCACTTTGTCGCAACTACGTCAATAAAAAAAGGCATTGAAAAGAGAAAGAAAACAAATGAAAATTTAAATACTAAAATATATAACCGCCAATGCGAAAACCAAATAGATATTTGTTTTTATTTTTTCTGCTAGGATTAGACAGAGTTCATCAAGTTGCATAGGAAAAAAAACAAATTTAGATTTTTAAAACTCACTTTTGAGAGAGAAAAAACTAAAAGTACTGGTTAGGCAAAATGAGGGAATTTTTCAGAAACAAGAAAAATGTTCAGGTTTAATGTTTTTTTCAATTCAGAAACTCCGTTTTTCAGATTCAGCATACAAAACTCTGTATGAAACACTGACTTTAGCATTTTTGGAGGCTAAAATGCCGGCGGAATTCGTGAAATCCGAACAAAAGGGCTAGTACGACCCAGTACATTTTGCAAACCCATCAAGGCTCTATAAATATAAATAAGAACAATTTCTTTTATTTCAATCTAACCATTGGCCTAATGGAAAAAAATACAAAATGATTTTGGAAAATTTTATTTTATTCCTGGGAAAATAGGTCTTTTGAAAGCGGTAGACTTTTTAGATCCGCACAAATATTTTACATTAATGAGAAACATTCACATTTTCTTTTGTTCTTATCCACTGTATTTTTTACATGCGTTTGTTTCCTTTATATAATTTTTTCCTGATACTTCTCTATCATCTACACCATTACACAATTATTGACAGTAATTTTATATATTGAGTCATCTAGATTATTCTTAGCAGTGTCAAAAAAATTTTCAGTCTTTTTTTGCTAAATGTTCCAGAGTGTCGATTTCTGTTCGAAAAGTGTGCTCTAAAACAAAAGAATTTTCCGCGAATATCGTGCCGCGGTCGCTAAAAAGTCGCTGTTGTCCCACTAACTATAGTAAATTAGTTGAGAATCACCTGTTTTCGTATGGGTATGAAAAAAGCGCGATCGCTAAGAAACGCGCCTTATTTCGCGAGTCTTACATTGAACGCGTTACGTCCTCCTGCCGCTAATTTTTAAAGAGACTCGTATCGCGACGTGCGATAAGAAAATGGACTTGGGTACACTATGCTTTTATTACCCTTGGGCTATTATTATTTGTGAAAAACGAACCGTTGAATTGTGGAGCTTCATATGCAGATTCTAAAACTAAAGTTTCTATTCATCGCAAGTATTTACTGAGTTTCAGATGCGAAAACAACTTGCAAAGCAATTGTAAAATGAAAAAAATATTTACCAAAGTCTATATCATCGGTCAAAATAGTCTAAGAATGTCAGGTAAAAATCTTGAGTTATGATACCAACATGTATTTTGGATGTTTGAGCTCAATTTTATCTTTATCTATTGTGAATATATATTTCAGATCTTAGAAAAGTTAGACTGACGTGTTTTAAGCAAATCTAAAAATTCACGATCGATAATGGAAATCTCTTGTATCTAATGGTGCGGATAAAATAGCTTCAACGTACGTAGAAATAATAAAATTCATTATACTAATATTTGAAAACGATATGCAACCGGAGATCAACTCATTATCTTATGCAGATGGGTTCTTTAACTTTTTATTTTCATTCACATTAATGCAAATCACGTCAATATGGTGATTTTATTACAAAAAATAAGAGTAATGTAAAAACGAGATAAGCCATAATCGATATGAACGAGATTGATTTAATTCGTTTGTCGTCGATTTTCGCTTTAACGAAATTCGGAAATTCACACATATAACCGGCGACGAAAATACCCATCAGAGCACCACCCGTATGTGCTGCATGATCAACACGTTCACTTAAATCAATACCGGTGATAAAACTTGTAATAAAATAAGGTATAACGGCAAACATGATTAGAATATGAGTGATTTTGTCACGAAAACCAGTTAGAGTAAATATCAGAAACGTATTATCGATCATGCAAAAGAATACGCAGCCATAAACGGCTCCTGAAGCACCTATTGATACTAAAACAAAGAGAATAAGTTGTCTAGCTCCAAGTAATGCCTGTTTTTATAGATAACTTTTGTGGCAAATCCGCTATTGAGATCGGCACAGTACGTTACGTAAAGTAATAAACTCGAGTCTTTGTATTAATTTCTTCAATAATCGTACAATTTTGCAGAACTTATCTAGTTCTAAGTAATCAAAACTACCCTAACCGATATAATCGAAGAAGACGATCATTCTCTTCGCGACGGCATGGTTTAGTGGCTAAGACGTTCGTCACGTACTTCAAATGTACTATGTTCAAAAGATCAGCTCGGCAAGTCATGTAATAGTCTTAGATAAATTACTTATGTCTTAGGGCCTCAGATTGTCAGTCTGATATCGCATTTACTATGTGTGGAGAACAAAACAACTTCTCTGATTTATCCTTGTTGTTCTCAAGCCAGTGTTTGTGGAGCTCGAGCAATTTGCACGGACGAACTCTACGTCAGGCTTGCTTTCAGGCCAGAACTCGGGTTGATACCTGGTAACGATATGGGTGATTATCTGAGAAGTTTATCAGCTGTAAAGAAGATATTGGGTAACCCAAACTGCCACTCGATACCATTCCACATCGGTAACGGTAGTTGCCCAGCTGGGCACCCTTCCTCCATCATATACATAAGCTTTAAAATTAGCAACTAAAAAGTCATTGCCCAAGCATGAATTCGTAAGCGAAAAAATCTAGATACACTTACTGGGGTATCGCCCGATACTCCAGCAAAAGTATCTAGATAAACGAGTAAAAAATATCGGGTTATCTAGATGCATCGGGTTCTACTCGATTACACGATGCAATATCCGATGCATCTAGTAAGAAACTATGGTTGATAGAAAACAATAAGAACTAGGTACATCTAGCGATTAAGCGTACGGTTCGTCTAGGTGTTTAAAAAAAAGAATCGCTAGATATAAAAAGCGATATAATTACTTGTAAATCGGGGTGAAAAAAAAGGAAGAAAGAAACACAGCTCGTGCAGAGATTCGAATTCTGTACCTAGAGATCAGTAGTCTACTTCTATCTACGCCATTGTACCACACGAGCTTACACAAATAGATGTACATTTTTCATTCTCTTCTTGTTATTATGGATAGAAATAACACTAAATTTAAAATAACTAATTAACAATAATAAGCGTTTCTCACCATGATGGAAGCATTTATTAGACTTGAGTTTGGAACATGAAATGCTGGAAATTTAATTTCTTAAAATTTTTCCACTGGTGTTGGGTCTCTAAAAGTTGGCCTTCAGGCTAAAAAATGGTATTTTGTGCTTTTTATCTTGAAGATCTAGTTGTACAAAGCTGAACCTGGCAGATAAAATTTAGAAAACTAAATTTGCTACACGTTCTGTTCCACACTCAAACTTGAGAAGTACTTTGTTCGTGGTGGGAAACTGAAAATTAGTTTTAAAAAAGTGGTTTTCCCGAATTTTCACTGTGAAGGAGATGTTTTCCCAACATGAGCCTAGAAGATGAAATTTAGCAAATTAAATTTCCTCAATTCTATCTGTTAGGCTCAGCTTTGTACAACTTGAGCTTCACGGTGCAAAATGATAACTACTGTTTCTCCTCATTTAGAACAAGGTGATTTCTCACTAGTTGCATCTAGCTGAAAATCGCCTTACACTAGATGCATCCCTCGATTTTAACGATAGGATGGAATGGAATTGACTTAAACCGATGTTCAAGCAGATGAATCGATCGATATATCCCACCAATACATTGTACGATGTATCGGCAGCTTTATCGGGCGATTTCACACGTGTCTCATCCGCAGCCGATATACAACTAGATTCATCTTCCGATATATTGCCCGATGAATCGGGTTAAAATTGCAACTAGATACATAACTAGATACATAACTAGATACATCTAGAAAAGAATCGGCTGTATCCAGATGTATCGGCCGATAACCCGATTCAACTTTTTCTCCCCGATTCAACTTTTTTCCGATTCAATCTTTTGTTGTTGTACATCGACACTACATGTCATTTGAACTTCAGAATCTTTTTTCACAATTTAAGGACTTCACGATTTTTACTATAAAACCCACGATATCTTCATTTAGAGCAAAAAACGAGGTAGAGAGGTTAGAGTTTCGACAAAAGCTGTTAAAGTGCCGGGAATCAATATTTTTTAGAGACTGGATTAAATCAGGTCGCTACGCCGGCTGGAAATTTACTTGTTTTTTATCTATTATCTGAGTGAAAGTATAGTACTTTACAGAATTTTGTCTCAAACAATGTCACATGCGAATGATGACGCAAGATACTTCAAAAATAATTTATCATGTAAAAAAGTTAAATCAGAAAAAAATATTGTATATGTAATACTATAAAACAGCAGATAGACAGTATTTTAAAATGTTTTTAACGTGAATAGTCGGACATATATCTACTCAAGAAATATCATCGAATTTGGATATGATTGTTGAAACCTTATTACTCATGAAATAAGTCGTTATTAAACCAACATAGCGGCATCGGAATTTCATATTTAGACCTTTAGAGTGACGCTGATAAGCATTTTTATTACTGTAACAGCTGTACTTACGTACTATTCTTCTGCTATTTATTCATTTGTTTCAAGAACAATCAGAGTAATATTAACGTTTTTGAGAATAAAGAAATTTTTCTCGTTTCTTTTGGTGGAAAACCGACATTTTTTCTTTTTTATGTATTTAGTTGAAAATACTATTTTCATCATACGGAGATGTTTTTGCTGCGTGGAACTGCAAAAAAAAAGACAATTCACTGGTCAAAATAGAAGGGTTCATTTACAGCAAAAATCGGTCACCGAACTATTCATTGATGATAATGAGATTCACTATATATATATACATATCGTTATTGATTATCAAAAAAAAGAGAAGCAAAAGTTTGTACCAGTGTTAAGACTAGGTATACATCGGTTCCAGTTTTTAAAGTGAAAAATCGATGTTCGGTTTATCCGACTTCTTTTTGCTCTTTTAAAAACAAATTCCTGCCATAAAACTGCAAACTAATCTAAGATTCCAAATAGATAATTAAATAGATTAAACATCTTTCTATAAAATAAGAACCGTCTCTGTTCTGGAAGCTGATTTATTATGAAAATACAGTTGGTGTACAAATAGCCCAAAAGATCAATTTTGAACCTATCTGAAAGACGTGTTTAAAAGCGTGAAGACGAGCAGGCGAAAATCCAACAAGTATATCAGGTTGTAGAAAATTGTTTGCTCTACAGCATGTAATAGTTTTTAAATATCAAAACTAGCTCATTTCATCTGTATTAATTAAATAAAGATCAAGAAAAACCGTAACGCGATGACAGAACACGGTTAAAAATGTCCTAACGTTACCGCCTATATAAACGCTGCAGTATTTGAACGATAGGTCATACTTCAAACCTTTTAATATCTTTTACAAAAGCCATCGGGATCTGTAAAATAATGCAACATTAGCTTTTATTCCTGCTGACAAGTGTGAGAAAATCAGCATTGACGCTGAAAATGCGTCATCGTATTATCTGCGGACAAACCGTGTTCAGTTTAGATGGATATCGAAAAAATTCAAAACATTTTTGTTTGAATTTCTACTCAGAACCTATCGGTTACAAGCATAACCGGTATCGGTTGCTGGTCTGTTTTCAGCGGTTAACCGACAGCTATAGAAATAACCGATACATGCCTAGTTACATAAGTAGAGGTATACTTGATATGTCGTAGTACTATCTGCGAAAACCTCTTGAATGTAACAGTGTTCTGTGTTTTCAGTATCGGTTAACCGACACTGGTATATGTCTAGTTAAGAAGAGTCAACTTTACCTACGTATAATTAACTTTTAATCATACACTAAACTAATTAATTAATAAAAAATATAAATAAAAAAAATCAGATTATTTTGAAATTAGAAACTGCTTGGAAGTAAAAATCAATAAATTCGCAAGAGAATATAGAGTTCTTGCACTCTTAGTTTACTGAAAAATCTATGCAGACATAATGTGGGGCTCTCACTTGTAACTGAAAATGTATTCAAAAATGCATAATACTCACCACTTTTAGGTGACCATAAAGCACTCAATATATTTCCGCTCAAACCGAATAGAATATACGAGATAGCAAATGCTTTTGTACCATATTTTCGCTCGAGAATAATACCGGTTAATAGTTGAAATATTAAATTATTCATTAAATTTTCCCAACTCCCATGTAAAAACATGGGCATAAAAAACCGATAAAATTGATGTGGATATAGGAAAGCGTGACATTGAGATTTGAATGACTGTTCATAAAGTATTGATCTTGATGGTTTCATACACGGTACATATTTTGCACCCATTTTTATCCATGTTGTAGAGGATTGTTTAAAACTACGATTAACGATATACAAGATTACTAGTAGGATTACATCGACAACACTAACGGCAACAGTGAATATAGAGCGATGCGGTAATTCAGTGGAAGACATGGCGCTTGATGCATTATCATCGCTGGCGGTGGAAGCAACTTGGGTGAATACGTTATCATCAGAGTTATATGTTGTGGTTGTAGAAGAATAGAGTAGAGGATTTAATGATGATGATGGCTGTACGGGAGATCGTGGTGATTTTTTGAAATTTTCCGTAATTTTACTGAATTCGATTCTACTCATTTGAATTCTGACTGAAAATAACGCACACAACTTCCCTTCTTTTTCTCAAGACAGAACTGATACTACACATTTCTGTAGACAGAAAAAAAGACAAAAATCTCATTTTTTGACACGATGCCGCAGAATGAAAGAAAAGAGTAAATTATAGCTTTTTTCACTCTTTCGATAAATTTGCTATTTACTAGTCTTCGTGTTTGGCTACTGTCATCTGCTTAAGGGGGGGTAACCACCCCCGTTTTTTTTCATAACTTTGTAGAGCACATCAAGCTGTATATACCCTGAAGTGCTTTCGATGAACAGACTTGTAACTGCTGTGAAAAGAAATTTTTACGAATTTCATACGATTTTGACCCTATATTAAAAAAATTTATAAAAAATTCAAAATTGAAGCTGAAACTCTTATTGTCACGCAGTTCGACAGAGCACCTTAAGTGACATATACCCACAAATTATAATGAAAATTGAACCAACGGTGTCTGAGAAAATTAACATTTTTCATTTTAGTGCAGTTTGAGTCCTTAAAGTCATTTTTTGAAACTTATGCACGCATTTCAAGAACAACAAAGCATTTTGAAGAAAAATTTTCGCTGTCAGAGTTGTTCAGGATAGTCCTCTTCATACCCTAAGCGTAGCACTTTTTTCACTTTAGTGGAAAAATTTTGAAATAAATTACAAAAGAAAAATTAGCTTTAAATTTACTTAAAATTTATGCAAATTGCATTTGTTTCAAAATTTTCCCACTAAAATGAAAAAAGTGCTACGCTTAGGGTATGAAGAGGACTATCCTGAACAACTTTGCCAGCGAATATTTTTCTTCAAAATGTTTCATTGTTTTTGAAATGCGTGCATAAGTTCGTATACCAGGTAATGAGAAAGTCGAATTTCCATGCAAGAGCGACTTTTTCTGATTTTAAAAGTCTGTTAACTTTGACAATACATGTATTGTCAAAGTTAACAGACATTTAAAATCAAAAAAAAAATTAAAAAGTATGTATACATGAAACAGTCTATTTGTATTAGATGCCACTCTTTGACATTAAGTGGATTGTGCACTCTATGTTGTGTTTTGGTGAGGGAAGTACCAGAACCTTAACTGATTCTGTTGACCAATAGAATATTATTTTTTGCTGCATTTTTTTCTTCATGCGTGAGATAATGTTTTATGGCTTAGCTAGTGTTTTCTGTTTTTATTTTGCTGAGTTTTATACGATTTGTTCGTGAAAATTAGAAGACGCCTCGTCGTCAGTCATTTTTTAGATTATTAATTATAAAAGGTTGTATCGAGGAATATCGTCTAATGATGAAAACTATTGTCCTGACTATGCGACCTCTTGTTCAGAGAGTGATGTATCGATCTCGTATGCACTGCCTTCTGTAGTCGGGGAAAGCAATAGCATACCGAAAAGAAAAAGAAAAGATCACGCGAGAAAACTACATGATCGAAAATGTGAACGTTGTTTTCAAAGGAGATTATATCGTTCAGCATCATCATTTACACGTCGTCAAAGAACTTCATTACCTGATCCAACGCCCCAATCATCTTGTTCATTATTGAAAATTAGTCCAAGTTTTCAACAGTAAGCACATCATAAGTTTTTGTTTTGGGATGTAAAAGGTAATTGAAGTCCTTTCTGTTAATATCCAGTGCACAAACATTACAAACTGAAGAAAATCAAACACAATTATTTGATACCAGTTACCTAACAAAACAGTTACGTGACGTCCCTTCATGTCCCAATGGAAGATTAGAATTTTTAGCTAATACACAGACATCATTTGGTTTATTTCATCGGAATGCTGTTCGTTGTTCAAAATGTAAAAAGCAAACAATTATTACAAAATTTCCACCAAATGATCCCATTGAAAACAGTATACAAGTATCAAATCAACAGTTGGATTTGGCGGCTGCTATGACTGGTATTGGATATGATTTATTAAGTTTAATTATGTCATCATTATCATTATCAATTACATTCAAACAAAAACTTCCAAGTTTATAAAATTTATGATTTATTACACATATTTGCTCAAAAACATTTTAAATCAACAATCCAAAGAACACGCCGTAGTAAGGGATTAGTCAATGATGACGATCAAACAATATTGAATGTAGGCGTTTCTTTAGGTAAATAAAAGAGTTCTTATTACTCAAGCCAGTTTTCTCTGATTTTTTGGAAGTTATATGCTCTTCCTAAAAATTGATGAACCGGACCTTTTTCACCCGTCGGAGTAGCAGAAGGTCTCAACAGTCTGCGTTTTTTTGTTTTGCTATCAGATGGTACATGGAAAAAGCGTGGATTTACGTCCAAGTATGGTATTGTGTTTCTGATTCACGCTGATTCTGGAAAATGTATCGACTATGAAGTTCTAAGTTTGAACTGTGAATCATGTAATTTACAAAAAGAACGTTTATCCCCATGGAAATTTCGTAAATGGTTTCGACATCATGAATCGTCATGTTCAAAAAATTATCATAATAAATCCAAAGGTACGTATGACATTTTCTCTCTACAGTGCAGTGAATTTCATGCATTGCCATTTTGATTTTATCTAATTTTAGGAATGGAAATAGAAGGTGCAAAAAGATTATGTTCAAGATCTTATGACCATGGGCTGAGGTTCAGGTGGCTAGTGTGCGATGGGGATTCATCTGCATATAATCATATTAAAAATTATTACATCGAGTTACTGGAACAAAAGTTTCAAATTTCAGAAGAAAACAATGATGATGATAGCAAATAGGGTGATACATCTGACGAGGAAAATGGAGAAGAAGAAAAAAAACAACAGCAATCAATTGCATCAGACATTGAGGATAACGACGAAGTAGAAGAGCAAGATCAGGAGGATTACACTGAAGATAAATAACAACTTAACAACAATATATGAAAATCTTATTGTTTCAAAAGAAGACTGTAAACCATGTTAAAAAACGCGTTATTACAGATTTATTAAAAGTTAAAGCTGTTTATTCTCATTTTGAAGTAGTAGATGGGAAAAGAAGAAGGAAACTTTTAAATGATGGTAAACCCTTTGGTGGATCCAATGGTAGAATGACAACAAAAATGATAAATAAAATATCTAATCATTATGGTCGTGCTATTCGTGATGCCAGTAGAGAACTCGTTGGTAAGAAAATAATATCTGATCTTTGAATCTACAATAGAACCGAAATACGATTTACGACTTGTGAATACTAGCACGGCCATCTCACAAAAAAAAGGGAAACATTTTTAGGACTTTCTGCAGTGGAATAGCATCTCATCAAAGACAAAGGTTTCTGGGAAGAGGGTATCCATTCAGAACGTTTAGCTCATCCATTTCATTACATTGGATGTAATATCTCTTAAAGGTATGGATGAAAGTGAAGCGGTCCGAATAATGAAAGAAAAATGTCTTGCAGCTTTTCTGCACAATATCAAATCGAAGGACAGAAAACAACAACATCGTTATTGCCCCAAAACATACATACGTGGTGCCCATATCAACGAGATCGGCTGACAAATAGCAATGAAGATAAAAATAGAGAGAAATTACGTTTAGATCCAGAATTCGATAAAATTTTACATCCAATGATTACAAAACTGACAAATGAAGATCTTTAAAGACGATGTTTGTAGTAACATGTTTGTGTTGTAGTAACACAAAATGCAAATGAATCTCTAAATGATATTGTATGATAAGCATAAATGGCTCTTCTTTATCTTCGCATATAAACCAGTATTTATCTCTTTTTTCTTGATTCACGTTTAGGTCAATTTTGTCGAAATCAAAACACCATGGTTTTCGATCGATACGTGGTGGTGCTGCTCTTGCTTCATTATACTTTAACAGTGGTCGAACATTATTAGCTGAGTTTTTTGAAGAAACCAGTATTAATATAAATTCATTATTATTATCTAATTTACTGTCTGTTAGGATCCTGGAGAGATCCTAAGACGGAAGAAGACAGCCCTGTAGTGTAATGGCAGTACGTCCGACCGGTAATCGGAAGGTCTGGGGTTCAATTCCTCAGTCGGGCAGTGGTCTTTTTCCGTTCTGTCGTGATATAACATCTCG